TAAAAGTGTTGTTTTTTAATGCTGATTAGTCAATTTAAGAAAAAATTAAATAATGAAAGAATATTTTATGTAAGGTTACAGTTAAACCCTAATTTTCATCAAGCATTTCAGAGGAAAGTAATAATAAATCAAAAGACTCATTCACCATCACAGTGCTAGTAGCTAGCCATTCTGGTCAAGGCACAGGTTTAGTAGCTAGCCATTCTGGTCAAGGCACAGGCTAGTAGCTAGCCATTCTGTTCAGCTTACAGGCTAGTAGCAAGCCATTCTGTTCAGGACACAGATTAGTAGCTAGCCATTCTGTTCAAGGCCGAATTAGGTGGAGGCTATTGAAAATAATTTTCACACTTCATCTTATCACTTTGAATGAAATATGGGAACACCATTGTTATAACTGCTGAAATGCATTATATAATCAAATTGAGAGCCATTTAGGCTAATTTTATTACTCATGGATATTATGTTTTTCCTATTTGAATAACTTCCCAGGGCATAGCACCACGAACAGTTACATGGCAGAGTGATGGCAAGACATACGCATCAACAAATGAGATTTACCCAACATTTCAACAAACAAAAACATTCAGTGAGGTACTTACAGTAGAATTGGCTAAATCTGAAATCCTTTTTTGTGGACCAAGTAAATGACTACTCTAAAAACAAATGACAAAAACCCTTTTGGTGTTTGATAAAAGGAATAGTTTTTTGTTTTTTTTAATTTATGAAAATAAATATTTTGTTTAATAGATTATCTAAATTTTATATTTTTGTAGTTTTCTAAAATGAATGTTAGGTTGAAGATGAAATCTCAGTTTTCTCAAGCTCAAGAAATAATTACAATTATAGTTTACTTAATATTTGTGCTGTTTTATAACTTTTGGGAAAACAATCAAATTGACAGTGAACCTAAAATAAAAAAATTAAATAATTATAGAAAAGTGTGAGTTGCTTCATTTACAACTCAATCTCAATAAGATTTAATCTTCTTTTTTTTGTATATTTTACTTGTTTATTTTGCAGAATCCATGACTACAGGGAACAAAACTTGTTAACCTACATCAAATATTTTCTTAAGTGGGCATTTTCATCTCTACCCAAACTTCTACCAGTCGATTATCTTATATCTTTCTCGGCTAATAGCTCTTCCTCTTCAATAGCAATGCCCTAATAAAAAAGTGGATTGCAAAAGAGAAAGTGTAATTTTATGTCAGAACTACAGATCACCATAACTTTCTGAAAGTCTGTGCGCTAATTGTGATGTCTAATAAAGTATTGGCATTTTTTGATGGCACTGGCTGAAAGCCCAAATACAGAATATCACCATTGTCTAGAGTGATTTGGTGGTTAATACTTTTATGTTGGTCTCTAGATGTGCCATCACAGTGCATTTATTTCACTGAATTTACCAGTATGGCATGCTTTTCAACTTTTGAGGCGCTAACAGTTGCTCCAGATTTTTTTTTTTTTTTCATGAAGCAACTTTGATGGTTGAGTCAAAAAGCTATTACTATTACCACATTAAGATACCCTTAACTTAATGCAACCAGTGAAGTATCCCCTTGAAACCCATGCACAGTAGCATCGCGAACCCCTCTGAAACATAGGAGCCAGAATGATCAATTCATTGATCGTGGGCCCTAAAAATAAAAAATAAAAAAGAAGAAGAAATAAATAAAGATATAATTTTGTTCAAGATTATGAGCTTTTTATTGTATAATGAGTTATTTAAAAATGAACACAAGAGATGGTCAAAATATTTTTTAATACAATTCTAATAGATCTTCTCTTTTATATTTTTCTAGTTTATTATGTAGAATCCATGACTAAAGGAAAAAAACATTTTCTAATACAACTTTAAAGAACAAATCTTATTTTTTTCTAGCTCTTTATAAATATTGTCAACAACCTGCTGAGTCCCAGAAATGAGGGTGGATGGAATGCCACACGGCCACAAGGTGATGAGGGTGATCAGCTGATGCAGGTCATGCACAGTTTTGCCGATGTCATCAGCAGATCTCTAGACTACCATATCAAGGATGGGCTGGTCACTTACAAGGCAGCAAATATTCAGATCATTCGTCAGTATGTCGGTAAATCAAATTCAAAACAAAATTGACCAGTTATCTTAAAATAATTTTTGGGGGATTTTCGGAGAAAATGTTTTAATTAATCACCGTTTGTTTTTCACTTTACCACTGTCCATTGATTAACGTTTTATTTTGTTTTTTTTTGCCACCCGTGCAATTAAAAACTTGTCACTCAATTTAATTTAAAGTAAGCAATATTATTTATTAACATCATACTAATAGTGAAAGGAATTAAGGATAATTATTATTGTTATCATAAAAGTGCTTTTATTGGTGAGATTTGCATTGTAAAAGTGTTTTTTTTTTTAAATGCTGATAAGTCAATATAAAAAGAAATTAAATAATGAAAAAATATTTTATGTAAGGTTACAGTTAAACCCTAATTTTCATTAAGCATTTCAGAGTATGGTAAAAATAAATCAAATAACTCATTTACCATCACAGTGCTTTAGAAAGTAATAAAAAGGATTTGGGGGGAAAGGGGGGGGGGGGAGGGGGGGGGGGTTAAGAAAAATGTTCCTTGTTTAGATGGACTACTATTTAATATTTAAACAGTTAATTTAAATAATTTAAAATTTTAAGACATAAATAAACCCTAATTTTCATTAAGCATTTCAGAGTATGGTAAAAATAAATCAAATAACTCATTTACCATCACAGTGCTTTAGAAAGTAATAAAAAGGATTTGGGGGGAAAGGGGGGGGGGGGGGGGGGGGTTGGTTAAGAAACATGTTCCTTGTTTAGATGGACTACTATTTAATATTTAAACAGTTCATTTAAATAATTTAAAATTTTAAGACCTAAAATGATGACAGAGGGCATGACTTTTGTATTTATATATTTTTTTAAAATATATTTTGTAGACAATTTTAAAGAAAATATAAAAGATGTGTACAAATATTACAATTAAATCAATGAGATACCAGGTTTACTAGAAACCCATTTTATATTTTTTATTAAATAACATTACCTGACTTTAATCTTCAGAATTTAAGATAGAGACTCAGTGGGTCTATGGCCAGGAAAGCATGGAGTTCCCAGACTCATCCATGTTGGATAGTGATGGGAGACCTGCCAGGGAGGCCGGATTTGTCAAGCTTCCAAGGGAGACAATCAGTGCCACTAATGCTTCAGGTCTAACAGGTACATAAATTAAATTTGTATTAAAATATTTTAGATTTCATATAGTCAGATTAAACATTGTAAGATCTTTTTATCTCAAAGCAGTTCCAACATTTAGTAGTGATTTATTTTATTATTATTATTATTATTATTTTTAGAAAATCGTAAAATATTTGAAGCTCAAAATATTACAATTATGATCAGGATAGTTTTGAAAATACATAATATATTATAAATAGCTTAAGTTAACAGTTATTTTTATCTAGAAAATATCACCCGATGTAATCAAGACAATAATAGCAGGCACTCTGGGATAATTTCCACCTGCTATTGCGCATACTCATCACAATTCCGTTTTTTAAAAAGAATTATCTATGTAATGATGATAATGTTTCTAACATCATTAAAAGTTTCCATAAGTAATTTTCTGCTTTATATTATAAGCCAAACCTACCCATTTTCGTGCCCCCATACGTGATTTTTTTTTCTATAAACATGACCTTAAATTACCAAATCTAAAATATCACTAATTAAAACATTATTATCACTAAAGGAGTTCATTGATGGCTGCTTTCTACGCTTGAGAAATATTTTAGATGATATGTGTTTTTATATTGTTAAATACTAGGACTACCCTATCACTTTTCATGCCTCTAAACTATTTTTTTTCTCTAAAAATTTGGGAAGCTTAATCTTAAATTTACAACAAAAACGCTATGTACCATCTAGTTAAATTTAATATTAACGAAATTCAATATGTTGAAATTTACATTAAAAATCTAACCAAACTTTGCCTTCGTTTTCTACCATATTATCAGAGAATCATAAAACAAAGCATTCTTTTATAAAAAGAAGAATCCCTTAACCGTTTTTCATGTCTGTAACTGTAACAGACTTGAGTGCCATTTTTACAGAAATATTATTGATCTAATAACAATATACACACACTTTACTTTTCACAACCTAAAAACAAAAATATATTTCCAATTTTTAAAATTAAATTGTGTAAAATGATTGGATTTTGATATTCATGGGTGTACATATGTAAATATACCCACGTTTTGTTAATCCCATTGATTTTCTTAATAGGTAAATGTAAGATTCTTTGTAAAAAGAGACTGTAACTTCCCTTTTTCACAACTGTAACATCATTGGATTTAAAGATAGTGTTGTCCACATAAAAATGAACACATCCTATTTCCCAACCCCGATATGTATGTACCTAAAAAGGTTAATTATTTATCACATTCATTCCTTTATTCTGTTGCATATATTGTGCTGATTGGGGCAAAAATGATAGTATCGACCCCTCCACCAGATTTTAATAAAAATTAATAAAATCATCCACGGAATCGTAGCTGCCTAAGTACGCAAACACACATTTGTTGAACGTCATATGGTGTGTCATTATTTGGATGAGTGATAAGTGCATTAGTGAATGCTATTTGACTATGGAGTTTCACTGCACTGATTGAATTAAACGACATTTTGATATTCAAAGTATATTTAAAAGTTATGTTTTTATTACGTTATCAATTTAATAAAAGTATGATTTTGGAATTTAAGAGTTAAAACTTATTTAATTTTAATGTTAAAATTATACAAAGCTAAATTTTTGTGTTTTACTAAAAATTTTAAAAGCTATCAGTTATATTTATTAATTTTACATTTAAGAAGGGTAAAGTACATTATATTTAAACTCAGATAAAATGCTTAAAATTTTTTTTTTAATTTTTATTTTAAATGTATTTGTAATTTATAATATTACTTAAACATTTACTAAACTAAAAGCGGATATATTTTATTTTTGCGTATTTAAATTTATTCGATTTCCGTACAATAATAGAAAATCACTATTATTGTTATTTAAGAATCTGAGCATATTTAAATCGCTTCATTTTCTTAGGCATAATGGTCAGCCTAGCTCATTCTTATATATATATTTTTTTTTTTTTTCAGTCTTCTTCGGTATATCAACTTTCAGATATAAAACACTGTCTCGAATGTTGCCAATGCCTGAAAAGTTGCCAATGCCTGACATGTTGTCAACGCCTGACAAAAGACAGTAAGTATTGAATAAGAATTATGCTTGAATTCATTTTCTTTTTCATCGTCTCTAGCTAACTGAAGAAAAGATGCATTTTACAACAAATTAAAGATGTAAGGATTTTGCTGTTACCAGCACATCAAATGAGGACAGCTAACATTATAAAAACCATTTTTAAGACTGAATATTTAAAAAACATTTGTACCATGGAGCATAGGAGCAAAACAAATGTGCCCTGTGCTTCTGGTCCAAGAAAGCTGGCAGTTGCTACTAATGGTGGCCATGACAAACAAGATTCTCCAGTTGCAGCTCCAATAATGGCAAAATTAACGTTTTAAACCTCTTTTGGAAAGTCTAAATAACAATACCAATAAATTTCATTTTCTGAAATGCCCTTGGTGAGAATCTTCATTAGCTTGAAAATCATGAGCTTGTTAAAAAAATAATAAGATTTGTAAAAATTCACTGTCTAGTCAAAAACGACATTTTTAGTTATTTCAATATTTTCAGAACTAATGAGTTATGAAGGAAAACCCAAAGTTCTATTTTTAAAAAAAATAAAGATCACTGTCCTTATTGATATAGTAACAGGCACATTTGAGACAAAAGATTGACACAGACAAAAATAATTTTTCTTATACATGTTTTCAACTTTACTCAATTCAATTTTTGTTGTTTTAAATTAGGCTAGTCAAAGACTAACAAATTTCTACTTTTAAAGTCACACAATTTTATTCCAACCTTGAATTTTACAGATTGAGAAAAGTGAACACACCAATACTTGCATTGTACTTCCACATACAGCCTTTATCTAGTGATGCTAACATTGAAGTGGGGAATCTGAGTTCTCCAATCATTGTCAGTTTGCCCATTCTAAATGTAAGTAGTCACTAATTAATTCAAAACTGTAGTAAAAGACAAACTGTGGTGCTAAAAATGTTACTTCATGGATTGTTTTAAATTTATTAATAACTTAGAAGTTAAATTGTATGATAGCCTTAAACCTAATTTGGATTACATATTAATTACAATGAAGGATTTATCAGGTTTTCAAAATGGTTAAGGAAGAATTGGGAATGCAATGAGACTCAATATATATTTTATTTCATTTTCCCTTATTTTAGGTTAGTACACATAAATTTACAATAATTTGGCCTAGAGGACACAATTTAGCTCAGGGTTTCTAAAACTTTTTGCAGTGCTGTACCCTTTCTGGATTTTAAAATAGAAATGTCCCTCACCCCCATCTTCATTTCAAAACATATTTCCACACTCCACATAATAAAAAATGCCACAAAAAAACACCAGAAAAAATGAAAATAAACCTGGTTTTCTTGGTCTTCCCACACACCTGTTCCTGTTAAGAACCCCTAGGGTGGATGGTGTGAATATACATTTGTTTTTGTTTTGTTGTTAAATTGCTGTTTTTTAATTAAATAAATGTTTGTTATTTTTTAATGTCATGATTATGTTTGCTACTATTTTTATGTACAGTACGGTGAGTCCAGCCCAAAGGCTGGGGTACTGTGCTATATAAGACCAATAATAATAATAATAATAATAATAATAGTAATAATAATCCAAACATCTAAGAATTGTTAAAAAATGTAAAACATTGTAAAGTTAAATGATATAGAATTTTAGATATATGGATCATGCACTAGACTTTGTTCAGTGCACCATGTTTATGTTTATATTCCTTTGAAAATTATGAGAGAAAAAATGTCATTTTCTTCTCAGACATTCAATATTTCTAATCCAGAATGTGTCAGACTACGCCTCGGTGCAGGGTAAGCTATCATCATCATATATAAGAGGCCTAGATTTTTAAAGTTTTTTTTAAATTGTTCAAAGAAGGTTACTTTCTTGTCACTTATAAAATTTGCAATTTTAAAAAATTATTTGACTGACCCATTCCAACATTTTCAGGCGAAAAAAGAAATGGGGCTGGGATAAAAGGTCTTGCACCATGCACCGTTACACGGGCCAAAAAGGAATATGTGCGTGCTCTCAACCCGGTGTGTTTGCTATTACTACAGATATGTTTGATGATAATGTAAGGAAAACATTCATCTTATTAAATTTAAATACAGCTTAGGGCTGGCAAACATCAAAGGATTAGAAAATTAAAGCAATTAATAGGTTGTCATTTAGGCAGACATGTTCAACTTTTGGGAAAAAAACATGCTATTAAAAATTGTTTAAATAATTTTTTTTTAAACCCATTGTGAGAAATTCAAAATTAACTATATTTTGTTAAAATATAAGACCTCCTTATGGAAATCTGATGACAAGGGCATTCAAATTCTAGATGATGCCTAGGAAAATAGTCTAAAACAGAATTTTTACTTATGCATTGGTTAGAATAAAATTTTCTGCAGTGGACAAAAATATTTATTATGACCAGATTTACTGTTATTTTACTTCTTTCAGTGGGATAAGGGAGATAAGCGGCCCAAGTTAATGAACTTTGCCTCCTACTTTGGTTGTGCCATGTCTGCTACACTCTGCCTTATGGTCTGTGGAGTTCACACCTATTTGAGGTAAATTCTCCTTACACCCTCTTCCAATGCTCTGATCAGCTTTCCACGACTAAGACTCTCCAACAATAAGCAATAATTGTTCAGAAGGGTCAACTAATTCAAATATCACAAATATGGTGTACACTCAATTCTCCCAAAAAATAAGGACCAGGAGTTAGGATAAGATCAAAGGAAGCCAAGATAAAAAAGTGAAAATTAATTTTTAAAAGTCCAGATAATTTATGACACATTAAATCTGAGGACCAATAGTCTGAATCCATCACATGCATTCAAATTAGCTTTGCAAATGTGTTATGAATTTCATTATTTCATTTTTTTTTTACAAGTCGTTTAACTTGCGCACCTTTTTACACACCCTGGTTACATTGTCATATTTGTTTATTTATTTAAGTTTCATCATTGGAATGAACAATTTTTAAAAGTTCAATGTTTCTATTACAACTCTTATGGGAATAGGTATGAATAGTGGTTAACAACATGCCCTAGAATACAATTCTCTATTTTAAGATTTATTGGTTTTTAAATGTTCAAATTAAGACGAGATATATTTGAACTGTCACTCATACCTGTTACTAATGACAACGGTCAGACTGTCGCTCATACCTGGTACTAATGACAATGTCAGACTGTCACTCATGCCTGCTACTAATGACAATGGTCAGACTGTCGCTCATACCTGGTACTAATGACAATGTTAGACTGTGGTTCATACCTGAGTCTAATGACAATGTTAGACTGTCTCTCATGCCTGCTACTAATGGCAACTGTTAGACCTTCGCTCCTACCTGCCACTAATGAAAACTGTCAGAATGTCGCTCATAACTGCTACTAACAAGACACCCATTTCAACAGAACATCTACCAGCACCGCAGCTCTTCACCGGAATCTGTCTGTATCCATTGCACTAAGCCAACTTGTCTTCATGTTCGGAATAGACAGATATGAAACACCTGTGAGTTTGGTTTTGAAGTTTTATTTGACAAGACCATTGGGGGAAAACATGTTTTTTCCCTTTCGATTTTCATTAAGGGTCTTAATTAACTTATTTCATCGAACATTCATATAGCCAAACATTCATAAAGCCAAACATTCATAAAGCCAAACATTCATATAGCCAAACAATGATAGAGCCAAACATTCATAAAGTCAAACATTCATATAGCCAAACAATGATAGAGCCAAACATTCATAAAGTCAAACATGCATAGAGCCAAACATTCATAGAGCCAAACATTCATAAAGTCAAACATTCATAGAGCCAAACATTCATAGAGCCAAATATTCATATAGCCAAACAATGATAGAGGCAAACATTCATAAAGTTAAACATTCATATATCCAAACAATGATGGAGCCAAACATTTATAAAGCCAAACATTCATGAAGCCAAACATTCATAGAGCCAAACAATGATAGAGTTAAACATTCATAAAGCCAAACATTCATATAGCCAAACAATGATAGAGCAAAACATTCATAAAGCCAAACATTCATAAAGCCAAACATTCATACAGCCAAACAATGATAGAGCCAAACATTCATAAAGCCAAACATTCATAGAGCCAAACATTCATATAGCCAAAAAATAATAGAGCCAAACATTAACAGAGCCAAACATTCTTAGACTCAAACATTCACAGAGCCAAACATTCATAGAGCCAAACATTCATAGAGCCAAACATTCATTGAGCCAAGCAGTCATGTAGACTAACACTCATGTATCCAAACATTCATATAGTCAAACATTCATGTAGACAACACTCATGTAGACTAACATTCATATAGTCAAACATTCATATAGCCAAACACTCATATAGCCAAACATTCATATAGCCTAACACTCATATAGCCAAACATTCATGTAGCCAAACATTCATATAGCCAAACATTCATGTAGCCAAACATTCATATAGCCAAACATTCATATAGCCTATCATTCATATAGCCTAACATTTTGTCTCAGCCTATGTCATTTATCTATCGGAGTGTATATTTCCTTTGTCTATTACAGTCTATATGTCATTTGTCTATTACAGTCTATATGTCATTTGTCTATTACAGACTATATGTCATTTGTCTATTACAGACTATATGTCATTTGTCTATTACAGTCTATATGTCATTTGTCTATTACAGAATATATGTCATTTGTCTATTACAGTCTATATGTCATTTGTCTATTACAGTATATATGTCATTTGTCTATTACAGACTATATGTCAAGTATTTGCCATCCTTCTCCATTACTTTTTCCTGGCCACCTATTCATGGGTGATGAATGAAGCCTTTAACCTTTACATCGTCATCACATACTCCGCCCATAATCCAAGTGACCTGACAGATTCAGGATCCATGATACGTTACTATGTCTTAGGATGGGGTATGAAAACTGCATAAGTTACAAATGTTCACAAACACATACATATATATTACCATTGTATAATCATGCATATGGATATTCCACCATAATATAAAAACACTTAATTCAAGCTTAACATTGGTATTATTCAGCTATAATATAAAATTTTAAAAAATATGATTCCAAATATTTTGTAGTAACTAATTAAGTTCATTGTTTCTGAAATATTTAAATTGCCATTATTGTACAATAACCCAATTTTTAGTGTGGTAATATATATAAATAAATGTATAAAATAAAAATTTTGCTTTTCCTACCTTTTGAGAAATTCTAAAATATAAGATTTGCAAAAATTGAATATATTTCAGTTATCCCAGCCATTTTGGTAGGTGCGTTTGTGGGAACATCAGACCACTACATTGCTCATGATATGTAAGTAATCAAAATGATTTTAAATGATGTTAATGGCTAAAGCTATTCAAGTTCTGCTAACCATGCATATTTCAAACTACAGAAAGGAGGGCAAATTATGTCCCTTTTCATTCTTGTATAAACAAAATTAAAAAATAGAATAGGCTTTATCTAGGAAACTAAAGGAATTTTATTCACTTACACAGTGAATCATCCACATTTAACCTGCTAACCTGATAGCAATTCGTCTACTAATATCAACATTTTACTAATAAGATATAAGACAATATTCTTTTATTGGTCCAAACAAATGGAAATATGTTTTGATTGTGTTGTTCCTTTTCACCATATAAATAAAACAATTTGAAGACAAACATCTACATTAAATTATTTCACTGGCGAAATGAACAGCCATTCAGTGAACTCTCTTAGTCATATCAGGGACTTAATAGTTCTCATTTAGTTTTGTGACTTCTTGGGGAGTACGCTGGTAAATTCATACAGATTGGGGAACAAAAGAATTTTTATATCTTTCAGTCCTCGTCCTGAGAGAAAGAATTTGTCCAGAATGAGCTGATCCTAAGTATTTGTGATGAAGAGGGTGGGATGTTTCATCCAAAATTTGTTTGGTTTTTCAATAACATCTTTCTTCAAATAGTTCTTCAAGTGAAGGATGTTTAGTTTGTGTTATGTTCCTAGCTTTCTTGATTAGTCGGTTTATTCAGTGTTTAATATGAGATGATGAATTCCCACACCAGCAGGTAATATTGAAATAAAAATAGGCTTCCAATTGTTGCACTTTAGAATACATTAACGACTTGTTTGTTTACGCCGAAATTGTACAGTTTTTTTAAAGGAGAAAAGTCTTCGGTTGAATTTTTGGCAGTGCTGATGCCATGTTAGCTTATTATTAATGTTGACACCAAAGTACTTATATGCCTCTACTTTGTCTACACTTTGATTTTTTATGATGAGATCTGTAATCTGGTGTTTCCCCCTCGGGAAATCGACGACCATCTCCTTTGTTTCTGAGACATTCAGATGGAGAAAATTTTCATTGCACCAATTGATAAAGCTTGTAACTAAGTTGCGGTATAAGCCTTCTCCCTCAGATATTAAGCAAAGGATGGTGGTATCATCTGCAAATTTTATGATTGGAACAGTATACATTGTAAACAGGGCAGGGGAGAGAACGCAGCCTTTTTTCTAATATAATTTTTTTTTATATCATAATTTTACTCAATGATTGGTGCTCACAAAGACCAAGGTTAATCTTTTATTTAATATTAAAAGTCTTAAGTTCTGGTCTAAGTAAGATATAGGGACTTGTAACTGTAGCAAAAAGTGTTTTTTTTTACAATTCTCTCCCCTCATATCTGTTCTCCAGGTGCTGGGTTGCGCCAGATCATATGTGGTTATTCATTGGACCTGCAATAGGAATTATATCTGTAAGTAAACTCATATATTTTTCACTGAGAAATATACCTTTATGTTTTTATAAGGAATAATTATTACACATGAACTCTTTTTAATCTTGCTAGTTTTTCTTTTGAATTTCAGACTCAACTATTTGATATAGAATTCAATTAACATTTTATTTACCTCTTACCTTAGTAAAGAAAATAGAGAGATTCCTTGTGTGAAATTGTGTTGTTAAATTTTCATCAACTGTATTTTAAAAGTATATTGATAGTTCTCACTTTTCCCACAGATCACAATATTAGTGTTGATATTCACAGCGAAGGAACACAATGAAAATTCCTACACCAAAAGTGATAAAACCAATAAAATCATCAAGTAAGTCCTATCAAGTTTAGTAAGCCCTATCAAGTTTAGTAAGTCATATCAAGTTTAAGACATACTTAAAGAATCAAAAAAAAATGTTTAACAATTTTTTAATAAATTTAAACAAAATAAAAGAACCAACAAACATATTTAAAGAAGTAGAAGCTGTAACACATTGTTAACCTTTAAGATAATAAAATACTTGATAACAACATTTATTTCATGAACAGTCTATTTTTGATATATCAAAAAATATAATTATCTATATATAAAAGAAACTATTGATGAGTTTCCTATGGCTAGATCTAGAAATACTAAGACCACTGCTATCTGTATTTGATATGATAATGGCAGGTTTTCCAATACCTTGTTTTATATCTATGTAGTTTTGTTAAGTTTAGCCTTGCTCATCTTTTATTATTAAAAAAGCTCCGGGCGTATGTTTTTGGGGAGGTAAAGGTTAAAATTTACATTATTAATTGTCCCTGAGATGCCAACTTAAGCCAAATTGAAAGTATTTAATAATTGTAATATCAATATGACACCTGCAGGGTTTGAATTTCCTATTCTAAAAATGCACAAGCAAGGGGTGGCGTCTCCATGATATAAAATGGCTGGTTATTTCTACGTGACATAATGACTAACGTAGTATTACAAAGGTCATAAAAGTTCAAAGTTTTCATTGGGTACCTATAAAAAAATTTTTTTTAATCTCGATACCTGATTTCAGACATTTTTTAATTGACAAATTGGATTGTGTACTATCACAATTCTATTATAACCCTAAGTAAGCAAACACGTATACAGAACAAAGCGATTTGAATTTCCAATTCTAAAAATGCGGAAATAGTTAAGTTCAAAATCAAGCAATTCAACATTCCTGATAACTATGCTAAATGTGATTTCAAAAATACCACAAGGTGCATTTTTTTTTTTTAATTTTTGCTATAGGTAATTCATGGAAATAGTTTAAATTTAAATATGATGTCATAAATCTAAGGTATAAAAACTAAAAAGTTGGTGGGACATTCGGATATGAATATAATTCAGAGGAGTTAATAAAGTGTGTGGTGGTGTACATGAGGGTTTGGTGTACATGAGGGTTTGGTGTACATGAGGGGTTGGTGTACATGAGGGGTTGGGTAGTACAACTTGGGATTCTTACAAAGTTTGTTTCTTGAATGTATGTTTTGTCACCTAACTTTATTTAAACAGTTTTTAAGTATTAATTTTAGTTTTAGATATTTAAACAGTTATTTCTGGAAACGCTCAGTACCAAACTGTCCTGTAGCCCTTAACCCAAAACCTAAATCAGTGTGTTAATTCAATCTAATCGCAGCATTCACATGAAGGCTTTGTGGACACAGGTCATCCTGATCACCGTCTGCTGGGCATTTGCTTTCATATCTTTAAAAATCGTGGACACCATTTTGAAATATTTATTTGCGATGTTTACTTCATTGCAGGTGAGTTCTTATTGTTTGGAAGTATTAACAAAATGTTTCATTAACATTTTATTTTTTTAAATATTTTTTTGTTGTAATTTTTAGTATTATTTATCAACTTTATAATTTTTCTGATGCTTTCCCTTGAACTTTTTAGCAATATTTATTTTTTTAAAGTTTAAATTATACGTTCATTCAATGCCGATGTACGTCACTGTGCTGCGTGCAATATATGTGACTTATCAGACTTATCTCCATAGCCGATGTTCTCAGCCTAAGTTTGCACTTAAAATTATTACATTATCGTAGAATCTAAACTATATGTTGCTAATCAAGCTAACTGAAAAGGTGTTTTAAAGTCTTCTATAAGGTTAGTGTTTGAAAACTGCAGTTTACTTGATACTTTAACATTATTACCTACTGTGTCTTTGAACACAGGGGAATAACCACTCCTTGGTTTATACCATTCCTAAAGAAATTGTATCAGTTGTTTCCCATTGCCCCAAGCCATAAAGGTGTAGTTTATTTCTAAAAATGTTACAAGTGTGTATTGTCTTGATAATGTACGTTTTTTGTGTATTACATATATTTTTTTTTTTTTTTGCTCTTTAGTTTTCGTTGATTATAAGTCGTTTCATAAATTTATTTTTAAGTATTTTTTTAAATCCAAACATTTTTCTAGAGAGCAATTTTCTTATTTTTATTTAAACTAAAGATTTTTAATTTTTTTTTTTTTTATTTTTCTTTTTTTTTTTTTTTTATTTATTTTTTTTTTTTTTTTTTTTTTGCTCTTTAGTTTTCGTTGATTATAAGTCGTTTCATAAATTTATTTTTAAGTATTTTTTTAAATCCAAACATTTTTCTAGAGAGCAATTTTCTTATTTATATTTAAACTAAAGATTTTTAATTTGTTTTTTTGATTTTCATCAATTTTTATTTTTACCTCAGGGTGCTTTCTTTGTAGTCTTCTACATGTTCCTACATGAAGAGGTAAGTTAAGTTATGAAGTTTAATATAGTTTCATATACTTTTCATCATTTATCTCCCTTTTCCCTATGTGTTATTCATTTATTTATGTTTAACTTTGAATTGGAAATGAACCCGAGATACTACATGGTAGGGACGATACTGCAAGGTAGGAACGATACTCAATGGTAGGGACACTATTACAGGCTAGGGACGATACTACATGGTAGAGTCAATACTCCAGGGTAGAGACGATACTCCAGGGAAGGGACGATACTACTGAGTAGGGACGATACTGCATGGTAGGGACGATACTGAAGGGTAGGGACGATACTCCAGGGTAAGGACAATATTACAAACCAGGGACGATACTACAGGGTAGGGACAATACTCCAGGGTTGGCACGATACTACAGGATAGGGACGATACTACAGGATATGGACGATACTACAGGATATGGGACACGATACTACATGATATGGGACGATACTACAGGGTAGGGACAATATTACAGGGTAGGGGAGATACTCCAGGGTAGGGACGATACTATAGGGTAAGGATGATACTACAGATTAGGGGTGAGCTTCAATATGTCGTATGGTAAATTTAATATATTTTCAATCTTGTCAAAAAATATGCATTAGCCCTGGTTACGTTTATTTGTGTGTGTTTTATGTAAATGTTGGCTGGGATAATTTAATGTTGGCAGGGGGTCATTTAATGTTTGTAGGGGGTCATTTAATGTTGACTGGGATCATTTAATGTTTGTAGGGGGTCATTTAATGTTGGCAGGGGGTATTTTAATGTTGACTGGGATCATTTAATGTTGACTGGGATCATTTAATGTTGGCAGGGGCTCACTTAATGTTGGCAGGGGATCATTTAATGTTGGCAGGGGCTCACTTAATGTTGGCAGGGGATCATTTAATGTTGGCAGGGGCTCACTTAATGTTGGCAGGGGATCATTTAATGTTGGCAGGGGCTCACTTAATGTTGGCAGGGGATCATTTAATGTTGGCAGGGGCTCACTTAATGTTGGCAGGGGATCATTTAATGTTGGCAGGGGGTCATTTAATGTTGGCAGGGGGTCATTTAATGTTGGCAGGGGGTCATTTAATGTTGACTGGGATCATTTAATTTTGACTGGGATCATTTAATGTTGACTGGGATCATTTAATGTTGGCAGGGGGTCATTTAATGTTGACTGGGATCATTTAATGTTTGTAGGGGGTCATTTAATGTTGACTGGGATCATTTAATGTTATCAGGGGGTCATTTAATGTTGACTGGGATCATTTAATGTTGGCAGGGGGTCATTTAATGTTGACTGGGATCATTTAATGTTCGTAGGGGGTCATTTAATGTTGACTGGGATCATTTAATGTTGACTGGGATCATTTAATGTTGGCAGGGGCTCACTTAATGTTGGCAGGGGATCATTTAATGTTGGCAGGGGCTCACTTAATGTTGGCAGGGGATCATTTAATGTTGGCAGGGGGTCATTTAATGTTGGCAGGGGGTCATTTAATGTTGGCAGGGGGTCATTTAATGTTGACTGGGATCATTTAATTTTGACTGGGATCATTTAATGTTGACTGGGATCATTTAATGTTGGCAGGGGGTCATTTAATGTTGACTGGGATCATTTAATGTTTGTAGGGGGTCATTTAATGTTGGCAGGGGGTCATTTAATGTTGACTGGGATCATTTAATGTTTGTAGGGGGTCATTTAATGTTGACTGGGATCATTTAATGTTATCAGGGGGTCATTTAATGTTGACTGGGATCATTTAATGTTGTCAGGGGGTCATTTAATGTTGACTGGGATCATTTAATGTTCGTAGGGGGTCATTTAATGTTGACTGGGATCATTTAATGTTGACTGGGATCATTTAATGTTGGCAGGGGCTCACTTAATGTTGGCAGGGGATCATTTAATGTTGGCAGGGGGTCACTTAATGTTGGCAGGGGATCATTTAATGTTGGCAGGGGCTCACTTAATGTTGGCAGGGGATCATTTAATGTTGGCAGGGGCTCACTTAATGTTGGCAGGGGATCATTTAATGTTGGCAGGGGGTCATTTAATGTTGGCAGGGGGTCATTTAATGTTGGCAGGGGGTCATTTAATGTTGGCAGGGGATCATTTAATGTTGACTGTGATCATTTAATGTTGGCAGGGGGTCATTTAATGTTGGCAGGGGGTCATTTAATGTTGGCAGGGGGTCATTTAATGTTGACTGGGATCATTTAATTTTGACTGGGATCATTTAATGTTGACTGGGATCATTTACTGTTGGCAGGGGGTCATATAATGTTGACTGGGATCAGTTAATGTTTGTAGGGGGTCATTTAATGTTG